CTGGTTTTCAATAAAGCAAATGGTAGGGTGAGTGGTCAGAGTGAAACCGTGGCATGGGGCTTTCTGCAGTGCGGCAGAGGGAGACCTTGGTAGTTCGTGGCAGGTGTGGGCCATGCCAGGATTCCAGTCCCAGGCAAGAACACTGAGCAAATGGTCCGTCAGTCCTACCCCGACCCCACACCCTGCACCTCATTCTCTCCTCTGTGTGTCCCAAGACAAACCCAGAGATTTCCAATAGGAAACCACAGTGTCACAAACATTTGACCCATTGTGGGCTTTCTGAGTTCTTTGTAACAGAAGAACTGCTCTTATTGTTTCTCCATAGTCAACAAATGTGTGAAAGCAGAGAGCTGGCATGTTTGAGGGGGGCTTAGAGCCTAATGAGGTTGAGAACCAGTGGCTTACTTTCCTAGGTGAATTGATTCCCAGGTTTCACCACAGCACTGAGAGCAGAATGTGGCCTGTGCCTTCATCAGGAAGTCTTCTTTGGAGCTGCTATTTATAAAAGGGAGGAAGGAGGACCCAGGGAACTATAGGCCAGTTAGCCTTACCTCGATCCTGGGGAAGCTTTTGAGAGTGTTATCCTGGCGCAAGTCCGTGAGGGGCCAGCAGGGGAGGTTATGCTTAGGGGCAATCAACATGGGTTCATTAGAGGCAGGTCCTGTCAGACCAACCTGGTGGCCTTCTATCACCAGGTCACAAAATCCTTAGACGCAGGGGTAGCAGTGGACGTGGTCTTTCTGGACTTCAGGAAGGCCTTCGACACTGTCTCTCATCCCATTCTCATTAAAAAACTAGGGGACTGTGGTGTCGACACCTACACAGTCAAATGGGTCACTAACTGGCTGGAGGGCCGCACCCAGAGAGTGGTGGTGGACAGGTCATTTTCGACTTGGAGGGATGTGGGCAGTGGGGTCCCCCAGGGCTCGGTCCTCGGACCCGCGCTGTTCAACATCATCATCATACTTGGACAAGGGGGTGAAAAGCACCTTGTTCAAATTCGCAGATGACACTAAGATGTGGGGAGAAGTGGGCACACTAGAAGGGAGGGACAGGCTACAACTAGATCTGGATAGCTTACAGGTGTGGGTGGATGAGAACAGGATGGGTTTCAATACTGACAAGTGCAGGGTACTGCACCTGGGGAGGAGGAACCAGCAGCATACCTACAGGCTGGGGAACTCCCTTCTTGTCAGTGCAGAGGCAGAAAAGGATCTCGGAGTCACTATTGATTCCAAGATGAACATGGGCCGACAGTGTGAGGATGCGGTCAGGAGGGCTAACCTGATCTGGCCTGCCTTAGTACCTTTGGACTACTTGGGGAAATAACCAGCAGGGCCAATCTGTAGCCACTAGGGGGCAGCAGTGACCTATCTCATCCTCTACAGGGTGAAAGGCAAGAAGCCGGCTACTTCCACTTGTGTTTCGGCCACTGGAGTGGGAGCTGGTAGTGCCCTCCCCCGGCTCCCGACCCAGGCTGCCCTACCCCATTGGAAATATGTGGAGCTGGATGGTCCCCCAAATCCTCTCTGAGATGTGGTCAGGGCAAATTTAGAGCAACAGCAGAGTGGGGAGATAGGGTATGATCTGTGGCAGCGGCAAGGGGGATTTCACCCCTTGGCATGGGCTGATCCTGGGGAAGAATGTATGGCCAGTGGAGAAGGGGTCAGGCCCAACCTGCCACCTCAGCTTGCTCTCAGGGTGTATCTTAATGCAGAGGGGAACGTACCCGAGTATAAAGACCCATCTCTGCAATGCTCATTATTTCTTCAATGAATCATGTAGGAGCACATGTGAGGGCACACATACTAGTGATTCCAGGCCTGAGGATGCAGACTACAGGGAACTTCCCTGCAGCGGTAGGAGAGTGAGAGGTTTACCATGGTGTTGATGCCCATTTATCTCTTCCCTCACCATAGCACCCTCATTGCACAAGTTTGTGCCATTGTGTGCATACATGTATGTGTGTGTGGTGGTAGGAGACAGATGCTTTTGACCCAACAGACAAACCCCAAACCTGACTAAGCGAGGGTTGATTCATATCTTTCTTGCATGTATTTTCATTCAGAAGCCCAGGGATTTTTGGGCTTAGTGGTTCCCAAACCTTCTGGATCAATGGACCCATCAGGTCTTGACATTTCTTGCAAAGTTACCCTTGCAGTTTGGAAACTATACAATGGCTTGATGTCCCAGGCATGGCCAGCAGGTGTCAGCATGGACCAAACCTTGAATCCAGCAACATAATGCATGATGCATCCAACACACACAGTTCCAAGCACGCTTATATCCCAAGGTGCTGGGGAAGGGATGGCGGAGAGGACAGATCTTCACCCTTCCTCTGCTCTCCCTGTCTAGATCCTGCTTTTCTCACCCCTCTCTCACTGTTGATTGGGCAGGATAGGAGGACTCAGAGCATTTTGGTTCAGATACACTGCCAAATTAACTAATGTACAGAACGCAGGAAATGAATTTGGCTGTTTGGACTGGGCTCCCAGGGGGGTACTGCTATCCTGTAGCCCACTGGCTGTGGCAGAGCAGAGCTGCCAAGTAATATCCCCACTCCACAGAAGGCCCTTTCTCTGAAGGTTGGTGCCAGGTGACAATGTCTGTATATGGCTGGGAAAACGCAGGGGTCCTCTGGGAGGAAAAGTTCTCTGTGCGCATGAAAAAACATCCAACATAGGACTCCAGAGATGCTGCCCTCAATAGAGGTATCATGAGATTACTTCTATTTTCCTGTCATTAACACTACTGAATTTACTATATAAAGAACTAGAATAGGTTCAGAAGACAATTTCTTTATCTAGAAGATCAGAGCATGGCATTTGCTGAACTGGCATCAGAGTGGTTTCCCTTGCAGAGTCCCGTGAGACAGACTATGTAGGAAGGAGCAGCCCCATGGTCTCTGAATAGATGAACACCCTTTTATCTCAGGACGTCCAAGGAGGTACTGGTTTCCTTTCCTTTCTGCCAGGGGACCTGGCTCTTCAGTCATTTTCCAAAGCCCAGACTCTCATGGCCTGAAGTGTGTTACCCCCGTTTATCCACAAGATGTCAGTGTAAGTGTTCTAATGGAGCAGGGCTGAAGTTCATCCTTCTCCACACTTGAGTCATTGCAGACAGCTCTTCTAAGCATGGTTAATTGTTACAATAGCTGAATTTCTGGGACTTAATGAACTTACGGAGAAGGTGCATGAGCTAGGGCACTGGACTCTATGCCTGGGTTCTAGGGCAGATCACTTTTCTACCTAGCCTTTGGCTATTCAGACTGTGTTTTATCGATGCCTGTGCAATGCCCCATCTCAGGTGGGTCTCCCAGTATAACTACTGGTAATAACCAAGGTAATTGCATTATTTCCTCTTGTATTTGCTGCTCATCTGCGGATATGCCTTTTACTGTATCTAGTTTGCAGCTCTCCTTCTCAGAATAAGGATTGTTTTGTGATCTCTCTGACGCACTTAGAGTCCGCTAGGACACCAGCAGGTGCTGGCGTATCTCAGTAACCGCACCAGATATGCGGGTTTGAGCCTCTGTGGGAAAAGAGGATTGGAGACCTCAAAGGAGCAACTGGGTGTTGAAAGGATTAGCAGGGATGACTCAGCAGGTGGAGCTTGGTTGGTGAAGCCCCGGTGTGCTAGGAGGGGCGCTGTGATGCTGGGGAGTTCTGAGTCCTTAATCATTTCTGGTCATTAAAGATCCCACGGTATCTTCACAAAATGAAGGGTGTGAACCCTGGTGCCTTAACCAAGACAGCTACACTCTGCCTTCCAAAATGCCCCTTGCAATGTAAAATGGATACAGAATTTGTCTCGTCCTGTCCCATGAAGTCATGAGCGGTTTAGCGGAGACAGTTACACTTTATACCTGAGCGATCAGCATTATGTGCAAGAGCTGGTATTTGTCAAGCCCTTGGGATGGAGGTAAATGAACATGCCCTATGGCATGACCATGCCTGCCGCATGTGTGTGTGTTCCCATTGGTGTCCCAGCACAGTAGTCCATGAGAGAAATCAGAGAAAACGAGGATCCCTGCTCATTATGGTCTCCCTGATCCCATCCGACAGGTTTTAACAACCCTCTCTTCTTTTTAATGGTCTTGATGTTCCACCAGTTAAGCTATCCTTTGTTCTGCAATTCTGCTGTCTGTTAGCTGTTCCTGGTAGTGAAGCTCCTATTTCAAAGCCATGCAGACTGTTTTTAACATATTCCAATGAAATTATATTTGTTTTTGCTTCCATCTTATACTGAATAATACAGCCCTAGGTCCCTAGCAGAGTAGTAAAGCCTCGAGTTTAATTTTAACTGGAGAAAGATATGTTTTGTTTCTATATGTGATGATGCACCACACCATCTGCATTCTGTTTTCAAAACTCTAGATCTGCCCATGCAAATAATGGGGAGAAGAGACTGAAATGGCAGAGAATATCTGTGTAGAGGGCCAGACCCTTCTGCTAAAGGCTGTACTGCCAGTGCTGAGCTCCTGTCATTGGGGCTCCATTGCCATGTGTCTCCTGTCTCCAGAGCCTGTGAGCTGGCAATGAAATGGCTGGTGCCCAGGTGATAGCACAAAGCTGCCCAAAGCTCTGTCAGCAAACAGTAGCCCTGCCTCTCTCTTGAAAGACTCAGTGAGTTACTGCAGATGTGGCTGCTGCTACTGCAGTTCACCGGCTCAGCTTTATTCTACTTGAAATGAGAGGTGGCTGTCCGGGTGGTAGCAGCCCCTGGCAGACACCTCCAGTGTGCTAGTGTACATTCCCTGAATACACAAGGCCTTCAGGGGATTGCTCTCCAAGCTCCTCCTTCAGCTCTACTGCAAAGCAGCTACTGGGGTTTCTGTGGTGCAGCACAGATAGATATAGGAGCCACATGTTCAGGGGTGCACCTTATAGTACGGGAGAAGTCCTGACTGCAGTCCCCAAGCACTGGGACATAGGGCATACTGCACTTGGTACTTCCTGTACCAGACAGTCAACCAC